ACATGCACTCAAATGCCGCCTTGCGGATGTCGAGACCGTCGTCCACGGTGTGCTTGAAGGGACCCATCTCCACCTCCCTGATGAGCTCGCTCTTCACCTTCGTCTCCGAGTACAGCCAAGGCAAGAGGGTGGGCAACAGGTCGCGCACCAAGCTGGGCTTGTTGTGCACCGCCGAGTTGAAGGCCACGAGGGCGACGCGCCGCACCTGTGGCTCCGGATCACGCAGGGCGAACAGGAACTCGCCAATGTTCTGCTTCAGCAGCACATCAATGGGCTGCGGCTGGTCGGAGATGGTGAACTTCACCGAGGAGACCACCACGGTGCGCATGGTGGCGCTCTCGGAGCGCAAAGCCTGCTGCAGTTGCGGCAGCAGCTCGTCGGGATTGACCAGCACCAGTTTGCCCAGGCACTCGGCCACCACGTTGCGCGATCCCTCCTCCGAGCACTCGCAGTGCTTGAAAAGCTGACTCCAAATCGATGGCACCGATGGCAGGAGCTGAGCCAGACCGCTGGGCGACACCGACAGCGACGAAATGACCTCCTTCAGCGAATGGAGCAGCAAGTACTGTCTCTTGGGCTGCACCTCGATCTCGTTGAGAATCAGAGGCAGGTATGTTTGCAGACTACCCACGCACACCGCACCGAGGGCATGGGATGCGGCCGCCTTCACATCCTCCGAGGTGGCTCCAAAACATTCGATAATGGTCTGCGGCAGCACCTGTATCGAACTCAGATCAAAGTGCCTGCCAATCTCGCCGATTGTGAGCAAACAGAAGATAATTTCCGTATCGTTGCGCTTCTGCAGATCCGTGATCAGCTTTGTGGCCAATGGGGTAGCCACCTGGGGACACTGTTGGGTCAGGGCCGCGATGCACTTGGCCGACGAGTGATATGCCTGCTTGTGTAGCTGCACCACCTCGCTGGGAGCTCCGGCTGTGGCTCTAGAGTTGGCGTCACCATTGCCGGCCAAAACCGGTGCCATTAGCTTCGACACCAGCGAATGGTAGTCCAAACCGGACAGCTGTGTTTGCACCAAGGCCTGGAAAAGCTCCAAGGTGCAATTCAATGCAGAACCCTGAAAAAACGAAAGCGATTATTGCTGGTGTTTCAATGGAAATAATGAAAGTATCTACTACTAGCGCTTATTTAACTTTTAGTAATAGTAGCTAAAGTTTAGACACACCTGCAGCAATGGAGATCGAACCAAAATGAGCACTGATCGCAGGAACTGCTCATGTATGCCGACCAATGCTTGGGGCTGCCTGCGAGCCACAGTGCTCAATAGCGTGAGTGAGTACTGCGCCACATGCAGATCGGAATCCGATATAAGCGGCGGAATCTCAACGATGGCCGTCTGCAGTAGATTTGCCTCAAAGTTGCTCGAGTAATTGATGACGATCTTGTTGATCAGATCCAGGGAGTGCAGCTTCAGAGCGCGGTGGTTCTTACGCAGAAACGTGCCCAGTGCGGGCAGCACGTCGTGCAGAATGGGAGTCAGATCTATGCGCAGGGATGATGCTGCGATGAGGGTCAGGGCCTTTACGCTGCTCAGCCTGGTTACTTCGTTCTTCAAGCGCTCCATGAATATGGGCAGGCAAACCGCCAGTTCGTTCTGCAGCATGTCACCCATGTTGGCGATTATCTGGCCCATGCAGGCGATGGCTCGCTCCTTCACCTCCTGGTCGACATCCGTGACCTTCAGTTTCTGCAGGGTGCACGAGTAGACCGGTCCCACGAAGGAGGGTGCATCAAAGTCCGACTTGGCAGCGTTCGCCTCCAATGGTCGAATCACCTTCACCAATTGTTGCAACACCAAGAGTGCCTCGGTGGCGATCTTATAGAACGGATCGAACACCGAAGTCACCACCAACGGCACCAGCGACGGTATGTGTGGATGAAAGGCGTGCGGCGGATGTCCTTGGAGCAGCGAGTACAGAAATCCCAGCGATTCAATCTTCATGTTGCTGGTCGAACTCTTGTCATTCAGCGAATAGCTTATGCCGGGCACAATGCTCTCCAAGTAGGGACCCAAAGCGCCGGGCAGCGAGTTCAACAGCTCACGCAGCAAGAGGAAGCAGTCTTGGCGCGTCTTCATCGATTTTTCCCGCATCAGCGGCTGTATGGCTTTCACGATAAGTGGTAGCTGCTCAATTAGCAGCGACGTTGGCCCCGACACCTGATCCATGGAGTCGGGATCGTTGGCCACATCGTCGCTCAGGCGAGTGTTCTTCAGCAGGGCCACATACGCGTGGAATATGTCGGACTTAACGTTCTCCTCGCGCTCCTTGAAGCGCGCAATCAAGGCCGGACTCAAGCTGCGATAGAAGTCCTCGATGAGCTCCTGGCGTGTGGAAATCAAAACCTCCAAGCACTTGGCTGCAGCACGACGAACCTTCCAGCTCATGTCGTCGTCGTCGCTGTACTCCTCGCTGTCCACGTACTCATCATCCTCCGTGTCCATGGCGTTGCCAGTATCGCCATCATCAGTCTCGTAGTTGTAGTTTGGATCGTAGGTGATATATTTGAGGCACAGCTCCAAAATCTATAAAAAAAAATACAAGTAATAACTTATCTATGTACGCTTTGCACTTGTTTTACTTACCATTGGAATGTGCGGATTTATGGCATCTGGGCAACGCATAACGAATGCTTCGCACGCCTGCAGGCAAAACTCGCGCAACTCGTCGTCATCCCGCTGGCTGTATTGGCTCAGCAGCAGCATAGAGCGGTCAATGTGGTTACACAGCCGATGGCCAGCCTGTCGACTGAACAGCAAAGTCATAAAATGTTTGTAGGAAGTTTGTCTGTTCAATTCGTTTGCAAATTTTAAAGTCCTATTCTCAACCGCTTGTTCTGTCCGCAATGGTGCAATTACCAATCCATACCACAATATATTTCTTGGCAAAAAGCAAAATTAAGGGCGCACTAGCCCAAAAGGTTATCACTTAAACAAACTATTGTTTAGTAATTTCTATTTTGGCTTTCATTAAAACGAGATCTCTTGGCTGACATGGTTAGAAATGGAAAACAACGTTTTTTTGTTTACCCTAGTAAAAAAATATCAAAAAATGTCCTCGAAGTAAAGAGTTATGTAAAGATGTGGCCAAAAGAAATCTTATTTAATTCAACAAGTGATAAAACAGAATCTTCTAAGGGCTGGTTTACTTTTTCAATAACATGTTAGATTTTATCTGACGGAAAACTTTTGGCTAGAGACAATATTTTAATTAATAGCTTTTGGTTGGCAAGTCAACAACGCAATAAGCAAAACAAAGCAGCAACTGACCCAAGCAAATAAACCACTTAAAAAGTAGAACAAAGAATTTAGTTAAGTGGGCACAGCTGTTCGCCCTATAACTAAATCATAGTACAAATATTTTGTACTGACTCGCGGCTCTTTTGCCATTTGTCATTTAAAATGTTAGCTTTCCCTGACGGATTAACAGAATATTTATAAGAAGACACAATGGTTCATTTTGTCTTGAGCAACACGACATCTTACCAAATCGAAGCCAGGCACTGAATGTACGTTCGAATGGCAGCAGGATTGGGTGGGTTCTCGAGACCATCAAGCAGGTGGTCAATGACGCCGTTGTAGGCGTTGCTGTTGGCCTGTATCAGCAGAAAGGAGAGGGCTACGATGGTGCGCTTGCGAACGGCCTGGCGCGAAGAGGCTAGCTGGGGCATCAGGGCCTTCAGGATGGTGCTGTGGAAGGGGACCAGGAATTCGCCGAAGCGAGAGAGCAAGTCGGCCAGTATGTCCAGCGACTCCAGTTTCACAGAGACATCCTCCTGCCAAGAGTATGGAGTATGTTATTGGGAACTGGTAAAGAAACTGGGTGCCTCACCTTTTCAATGGCCGTGCTCAGCTTGCCGGTGATCCGTTGGCAGACATTTGGGGCCAGGGAGTTGGAGGACTGCGGCAGCTCGGCAATTACTGTCTTCAGGCCGATGCTCGATATGTCGCGGAGCTGCTCCGTGTTCGACATCATGTTGGCGCACAGCGAGTCCACAATGGTCTCCACCTGGATCTCCTTCACCTTGTTGACCAGCGGGCCCAGGCACTTCACCGCCAAGTTCTGCACCTCGCCGTTCTTGTCCTCCAGCAGTTTGAGCACCATTCGCACCACTTTCTTCTCCGACTCGTCGTCCAGAATAATGCTATCCTTCTGTAGCTCCGTCATCAGGTCGTTTGTCGCCATGAAACGGAAATCCTTGTCCGTCGACGTCATCTGCAGCGGACCGAAGCTCCATTACAATTTCATTATATTGCAAAAATGAAATTCTATACATACTTTTTCCAGCAGATTCGCAATTTGATGGTACTGATGTGATGCCATAGCGAAGCCTTTGAAACGTTGGCTTGGTTGCAATCAAGTGATAAGAAATATATAGAATATATGTTTAGGGTTGCCCTATTTTTGTCGTTGGAAAACTTGACGGTGTACTACAATTTTTCCGGCTTATTATCTCCAAGTTTTATATTCACTTCACTCAAAGCAATTTTGTTATAAAGGCTGCATTAATGGGGCCAGATTGCAGTAATAAAAACGAATTTTATAAAACCCTAACGCCTTTGCATGCCGATAATTATTAATGTGGCCTTACCGACGGGTTGAACCTTATATATCAGGAACGAGTGGAAAACTACCAGCTTTTTTAATATATATGCAACTTTAAATTTTATTTTCAAATTTTCAAATTGCATTAATTGCACGAAAATTGATAATCGAAACAATTTTTTTGGAACAGATGGCAACTACCTTAAAGAGTTCACTGAGTTGAACAGTGGAGAAAAATAAAAATGTACATTTAATTTAACATTTTTGTGAAGACATAAATTTAATAACAGCAAAAGGTACAATATATTGTATGGGCCGTGTATTGCTTATATATTTTTATATTATTACCCTTATTTAACGTTTTTGAAATGTTGGAATTTGTGTTCTTTTTCATCGTTTCAGATGTATGACAAATAAAAGATGGCAACGAGTCTCCCATCACTAAAGTTGTGCCGCTCATTTTTATATGAAACTGAATGCTGATAAAATTGGGTTAAAGTATTTATAATTCGCCAAACCCTAAAATATATTAAGAAAATGGAACACATCTTGAACAAGGAAAACACTGGCCTTAATTGTAAGCTAAACTTGGTTCGCTTTCCACAAAAGCTTGCATATAATACCGATTATATATTCCAGTGCCGGGAAATCCTATGAAAAATGGAGCTCCTAATTCAGTTATAAAAAAAAACGTACTTGGAAAACTAGACAATGTGATGCTCCAAACTCCTAAAATAACACCATTTAAAAGGAATCTTGCGGGACTGGAGGGCAGCATAGCTAAGTTATCGCTTCGGAAGACCAATAAACCAATTATTGTAAGCAAGGACCGAGAAGAAACTAATGTTAGAGCAACAAACTGTTATTTGGGCGCCTACATGTTGAAATGCGAACCACAAACCATAAATTTATTTAACTATACTGACTTTCCAAACGAGCAATGTTTGAAGAAATGCGGCAAGCGTAAGTGATATTATTAAACAATGATAATCTGTAAATGTTGAACTACATTACATTACGCATTTTAGCAATCACGGAAACCTGGTCGGACAATCAATCTGGATATGAAGGACTATTTAATCAACTTTATTGTGACCTTCGCACATGGGAAAATAATTTAGAAAATGTGTTCCTCCCCCCGTTAAAATTTGATTTTGATGATTTTCAATGCAGTAACTACACAGAAAGAACCGAAATAGCTGAAAGTAAATACGTTTTAGATTTGTTCGCGCCTATGCCAAACTTCGAAAGTATTGATATCTTATTTTAAACTTTTGTTAAGAAACTCTTTGTTTATATGGTAGTAGAATTTTCAGTCAGCTAGTTACGTTTGTAATACGAAAATAATTAAGTTATACATTAAAATTACACATTTACTTTAAGCATGTATTAATAAATGTAATTCTAGGAGATTGATCATAATTTCTCATATTTGTTTTACTTTTTGGCCATGTTTGACTGATTTTGGCAAGAGCCATTTTAGCAAAGAACTGCAACTTAAAAACAAAATAAGCAAACCGGCGCAGGTACCTAATTCTCTTGACTTGTTTCTAAATGGAGGACTGGCTGCTGAGCTTCTTAAAATGTTGACCGAAAGGTAATAGTCCTTAAAATGTTCATAGGCAAACTCTGATTAAATAGATAGCTTTAAAGACTGAGAGACTAATATACGTAAAAACGCCTTTTTTGACGCTAAGTTCAGTGCGGGGGTCATAAAAATCAAAAAGGAAGTAAATTCCGGGGATCCGAAGTTGAAATACCCTTGCAGCAGGATAGCTGCCATAAATATAGAATTGTAGTCCTTTCAAAGAATATTTAATTTCTGTAATAACTGCAGGGCTTACATCTGCTTCTTTTCTTATTAAAAATGCTCCTAGTTTTCTTTATTCTCCTAAATAAATTTAGGAGAAGAAAACTAAAATGTGTAAAATCAGGAAATGCAAAAATTCCTATCAGTAAATCAGAAAAATCTTTATCTGCAAATACGAATGCCATTTTGCAGTGACTACATAAAACATATTTTAACCTTGCAAAAATAGTACAATTGGAGCAGTCATGGAGCAGCTGTTTGACAATTTCAGAAGCTTAAATTTGGGTTGTTTTTTGCAGAAACTTTTTAAAGTGTTTTTAGTAATTTACTTTATTAAAGTATGCATACTTTGATAATCCAGAGGATTCAGTTAATAATTTAAATTTAGATTTCTGCAGAACCTTGCAATATTCGATTTTAATTTACAGCCAAAGGGTTAATATAGCCTTTTCAAGCTAAATTCCTAGCGGGTTTTAGCTTTTTTTTGGTAATCAACAGTTGGCAGCACTGAAACACAGTAATGTATCCAGATTTTTTTACATTACTGCAGAAAGGTTTCTCATCTCGGTGGTGACCTTTGTTGCCCGTTCCTCTGGATGAAATAAAAGTGAAAATTAATAATTTAAATGTATAAATCAAAATGGAATTGTCTTAGCAACATAAACCTAACGAATGACAATATAAATTTGAAGAAAAAAAAGCATACTTAATGTATGCAATTGTACATTTGTATTTGTGTTTGTGCTCAAATCGTGTTATTTTACGGAAAACGGTATAAAAACATTTTTTTCTCACAGACTATTTGAATGTACTCAAACAAAAGACCTAGGCGACAAACTCGAAATTATAACTGTCGGTGGATGTAGGGATGTACATATGTTTAAAGACGTGGCAGTGTCACCAGTGCAACAACACCACTTTTGTATATGTATGTAAACATATGTATGCTGTTAATGTATATTATTTCCTGTGTGATGAAATCCAGATTGAAGTTAATTAACGACATTTCATTTTTTTTGCAAGCATAACTGTGTAGAATCTTGTGCCCAATAAATTAATTATATGTTATTTTCTGCAGCCTCTTTGAATGTTATGCAGTTTTACTTGAGCTGAAAAAAACCCGAACCATTCTTTGTTCAACATACTATTGAATAATCTCTAAAATGGTTTACCCTGAAGAACCTTTTTGGGTTTTGCCAACGGTTACTGGATTTTACGAAGATAGAGACTATAGAGGTAAAATTATTTTGTAATAAACAATGCATAATTTTAAAAATCGCTCATATGTGCTTATGTAAATATGCATTTCAGTTAATGTGGTTGAAGCCCTTCAAGAGTTTTGGCAAATGAAGCAATCCCGTGGAGCTGAATTGAAAAATGGAGCTCTTGTGATTTACGAGTCGATACCAGCAAATAGCCAGCCATACATTTGTTTCGTTACGCTGCCTGGAGGAAGCTGTTTTGGCAGTTTTCAAGTAAATATAACATTAAATCAAATCCAACATATGGCACAGAAATCTTATCCAAACAAATTTGGTTGGAACTTGTATTTCAACCCAATTGGGGAACATTTTTGTTTAACCCCTGAGATGATTTAGCATTGATTTTCGTTCTTTTTTAGAATTGCCCAACTAAGGCGGAGGCTCGTCGCAGTTCGGCCAAGATTGCGCTAATGAACTCGGTTTTTAATGAGCATCCATCGCGCCGAATTAGCGACGAGTTCATTCAAAAAGCGGTTCAGGATGCTCGGACTTCTTTCAAAGGAAATTCGCAGATCAACGAGGGCACAGAGTCTGGAATTGGAGCTTTCAGGTGAGGGCTACGACTAAAAATTAATTCTATACTCATTACTGCTAGAGCAATTTTCATCGCAGGTATATATAGCAGATATATCCATAACTATAAAATATGGAATAGAATCTAATATACATGCTACATAAGTTACATATTCTCTAATAGTACAATAAGTAAAATTGGAATCGCTTGACTATCATGTTTTAATTTTTGATCTTAGATTCATGCTGGAGGCAAATAAGGGAAGAACAATGCTGGAGTTCCAAGAACTTATGACTGTCTTTCAACTGCTTCACTGGAATGGATCGCTGAAGGCAATGCGTGAACGCCACTGCTCGAGACAGGAGGTCGTGGCCCATTATTCTAACCGCAGCCTGGACGACGAGATGCGGTCACAGATGGCATTAGATTGGATTGCCAGGGAACACGACAATCCCGGCGTAATCCGCAGGGAGTTAGTGCTTGCCGAGAGAGAACTGGAGACCTTCCGCATGGCTGGACGCGAATTGCGCTTTCCGAAGGAAAAAAAGGATATACTCATGATAGCTCATAATCAACTGGGCGGTAGTGCCCTTAACTCGGCTACCATTGATGATTGATCAAGAATATGAATAAGCATCTTGCACGATCAAAATTAACCACTTTTTTTAGACAAATCATTTAATTTCACTTTGAGTAGCGATCAATATTTATTTAATTGGCATACCATATGATCTCCACGATGAAAAACAAGCGGAAACAAATTTTACACTTCCCAAGCACTTCCAAATTAAAAAAAAATTAATTTTAAAAATCTTTGAATATGTGATTTTTAAAACAGCTGCTACAAAAATAAGACTAAACCCAATAAAATATAAATAATTTTTTTAAATTAACGTATTTTATTAAAAGAAACTATGGGTTCCCTTTATTTTTGTAACTACGTCTTTTCATCAAAAAAAAAAAATATATTAAATCGATGAAAGAATTGCTATTTTTCCATGAATGCAAACAAACTGGACAATGTTGTCTTAAAACAGCTGTCAAAACCAAACTGCTGGATAAATCTGCCTATAGTTTTGATAATCGAATGGTCTAGAAGGTTTTTCCGTGCTAAAGGTTGCACAGCTGGTTCATCATCTGAAAAAAGTTAATTCTTACACGTTTGGCGGAAAACAAGACAGAATAACTATTTCGGAAACGGATGGTGATCTGCAGGAGTAGGGTATTAGAAACCTTTTACTGTATCAAGTGTTCTTTGAATTTGTAGTAATATCAAATCGAAATATAAAAACCATTCCAGGTCCACCGTTCCAAGTCACTGCCATTTCAATACTCAAACACAACTGGCATTTGTCCATCCCTCGCAATAAAAGCCAATTGTGCCGTTATCTTGTCTGTTTTTCTGTGAATGTAACACATACATACAATAAAAAATAAGAAAAAACGGAGAAAAAAAGTGTTTTAAAGCTGCCCAATTGCACTTTAACAACATTGAGCAAAGATCGGCTAAGCTAAAATACAGAGGACAAACCAGAAATACACGGTTTTGGCTATACCATGGCCACTGAAGAGTTGCCAGCTGACCTGGACAAGTTGAAAATAACACAGACTCATCCTCTCACCAAGGCTGTGGAACGGAACCCATTTTACGATGCGGACAACGGTTTTGATTCGTCTGATAACTCCGAAGCAGCAATGGGCTCTAAACCCCGGTCGCAACATCGCTGGAAGTGCAGACCCCGCCGAAGATCCGAAAGTTGTCTACAGGACTGCAAGCAGGATGAAGCCTTTGTTCCAGCCGAATCGTTTGAGATTGTCAGTCCATTGAGCTGCTCCCACGGAGTGCAGAAGCATTCGCAAAAGCGAAATTCCCATGCGCCACCCAAGAAAAACATATTTAGGCAGCCCATCTTGAGGTACTTGAGCGGTTGCGAACATGGCAAGTGCATCGTCCGTAGTGGTCGAATGCTTCTCTGCAAGCCAAAGGAGGAGACCAGTGATATTGTTGGCCAGCCACAGGTCAACGAGGATTTGAAAGCGAGCGGCTCGTTCGCCTTTCGCGATGTTATTGGCGAATGCAATGCCATGCTGGACGAATCCAAGCGAAGCCCGCTGGGAAACAGTTGGCACTTGTCGAGGAAGTGCAGTTCGTCGAAGGCCCAGCTCTCGGGAAGTGTTCTAGAGGAGCCAGGATCTTCAGGACTTCAGAGCCATAAGAGCGACCCATTCGCCGTCTCCGCCGCCACGAGATCTCTGTCAGCCATTTCGCTAATGGGAGCAACGTGCTCGCAACAGGCCAGCTATAATTCCACGAGCCCTGGCAACTGCGACGATGTAACCATCGGAGAATTGGCCAGCTACTTCGACACCATTGTTCATATTCCTAAAAAAATGTCCTCAATGGCCGAAATGATGTATATTTAATTATCGTAACCATTATTATTATTATTCGCACCCTTTCTCTGAATATATTTTTAAGTTTTAAGTATGTATGTTATTTGTGAATTTAATTACACAATTTCAGCTCTTTTAAAATTCAGTTGGCTAAACTAAATATTTATAGTGTATAATATGTACATAGTCATTGGTATATTCTGCGAATTACAGCATTTCTAAATACACTCAAACACGAATTTTATTATAACCCCCAATGGTATTTTTGTTAAGCTTGCGAGAAAGCACTATTTAACTGTACATCTTAGCAACAGCGGTCAATATTATTAATTTAAATTTTCTATTATAAAGTAGTAAAAGGCAAACTAGTTTCTGTGGGAGAAAAGTTATCAGTGGTTTCAAGATTCGCCCTTAATCAAGCTATAAATATTTGAAAACAAAAATATTCCTAAAAAGTCTCAAGGAAATGTCGATGTCTTGTTTTTCCGATCGAATATTAAAAGATTAATTGTGGAAGTCACTCCAGTTTTTTTTTAAACTGTTATCCTTAAAAGTATAAATCAAAGCAGCTCCACAGTTTTTTTTTATCCCGTTTGCCTTAAAATAATAAATCAAAACAGCAGAACAGAATTGTAATACTAATTATTATTTATTCATTTAAAGTTCGGATTATACATACATAAATAGACATTTAATGCGTTATTCATATAATTGTTATCTATTTGTGCACTCAAACTTGTCAAATTTGTTGTCATGAATTGATTCAATTAATATGTAAAATATTAAAGGACGTTAAATTCAGTATTATTAATGTAACCTAAATATTTCTGTTTGTTTTCGGAGTGCACCGATGTTAATTCAGTCATAAGATTAGAGTGGTTGTTCTTGTTGGAGAATCTAATGGGTGAAGTGAACACTTGCTTAAGCTTTGATATATTTCCAATACTTTTTTTAATTCGATCACTATAGTTTGAAAGGTGATTAAACGAACGACTAAACTCTACTTCCTGCCATTGTTGAGCGCTCGTTTTCCGCGGCGCAGCGGGATATAAAATGTGCTGTAAGTAAGAAAAATGGGATTTTATTACTGCAGATGAAGTGTACAACCAAAGATAATAGATTGTATGTATGTATTTAGGGTTCCGATGTCCCATTTAATAATAATACTAATATTTTTTGTCACCCACCGAAACGAGAGCTTTTTCTGTAAAGGTAACGCTCTTCCTTATGATGTCATCCGAGTGATGATGATAATAATATTGAGAGTTCTGCGTCTGGGAATATCGAGTATTGCTGCTCACAACATCAACGCCATGATGGTCGGAATTGGTGAAATTGTCGTACCCGTATCCGTTGTTATTACTAAACATATCTACAAAGCTAATCGAATGGAATTCACTGGGATGAATATAAAACGTCACAATCATTGCAGTGTACACGATGATGTGAAACAGTACACAAGTCCAAATGAGATTTATCTGCAATTAATTCGATTTAGTTTCTCTCTACCATAGTGATCAACTTTGTGGTTTTACCTTCTTCTTTCGACCGTATTTCGAGAATGTGGTAAATGGCACTAAAGACATGGTCAAAAGACAGCCACAAATCACTCCAGCCAGCAATCCCAGGAAGTTTAGTTGATAAGGCAGTGTCCCGATTCCCACCAACACGCTGCACAGGAGCAACAATTTGAACAGTGCAATGTGCGGCTTGTGCAGATACTTCCAGTGCATCCAAACCAGCAGGGCAATCAGCGAGGCCACCACACCACTAAGCGATGCCGAGGGTCCAACCTGTTAATGATAAGGGTGCATTAATCAACTGATTTATATATCCCTACTACTTAGGCCCTTTTCTTCGTCAGTAGTTTCATTTGCCAACTCTCTTATTTAACTCTCTTCATCCAAACATTCATATTCTGTCGGTTTCTGATTGGATACCAAATTAAACATGAAAATATAGTGATTACAGGAAATTGTACTGATATACAGACAAGACAGCTATAGTTTAATTATTACAAATGGAGTAAAAATCATGTTTTCATCGAGTCATAAATCCCTATTATTTGAAATATTGTTGGGGACAATCAACATTTCTTGTTAATGTTAATCACTACTATTAAAAACCTGATAGACATAGGCATATATATCAATAAGTGTACCTCAGGACGATGGGGCACAAGTATGGCGCTGGTTAGATTTCCAGCAAAGCCCGACATAATGTACACGATCGCAGTACGAACGGTGCCAATCAACCTCTCCAAGTCGGCCAAGAACAAGTGCTGGAATATAAGGGTTATGGCCAGATGCAAAATGCCGGCGTGCATGCAAAGCGATGTGAGCAGTCGATATAGCTGATCCGGAGTCTCCACGGAAATGAACGGAAACATTCCGCACACATTGTTCAGGCACGATATCTAATAAGATATAATATATATTTAAGGATAAGGATAGTAATTTCTATAGTCAAACGGTTTACCTGTGAGCACAATGAGGCTTCCTCGTGAAAGTATCCCTTTATGAAGTCACAGTACTCGCGGGTCGTTATCCGGCACTCCCCATATAAGCCGGTGCAACACGGATGTCCAATCACCTCGCATACCATGTGCTCCGAAGTGTGGTCCTTGTAGCGATATCGTTGGGTAAACGAGTTGGTCTTACGGCAGATCGGCCACTTTGTGATGTCGTCGGGCCACTCGTACGGAGCTATCGATGCTGGGGCATCGCAAAACTTGGGATCCAATCCGCACACGGACCCGGAGATTCTTCCTCCGGGTCCGGACTCACTGGGTGACCATTTCTTCCACGTTGATATCGATTTCTGTTTGATAGAAATAGAAAACACATTTACTTTATAGATTAGAGTATAGATTATCGGATTTATAGATTACAGTATTGCATAGTAAAATATCTTAAATCTAAAAACCTCATATTCTTTACAAGCTGCTTTCATTGCAAGAGTAATATTCTCGAATATCTAATTCAATTTATTATTGGCTTTCAAATGGCTATAAATATATTTAGTTAGATAGTTTTAAAAGAATGGGGTTTAGAGAATGATCTACATTTTTTTAAACAATTTAATAAAAGTCTTATGTGCATCAATTCAAAATTTAAAAATAATAGATGTAGGAATTATGAATATAAGTGTTCTATAAAAATGTAGCAATAATTTGTTATACTAAAATACTATGTATATATTATTTGTATGTAAATATAAGTTTCATTTTTTTTCTTTTATTAATTTAAATTACAATTGACTACCATAATAATTTTTAAATTGTCAAACTTGTAATTCCACAATTGAAATTAAAAAAAAAATTTAAAACTTTTTTAAAATAACGAAAATATATTCTGAATTTAAGAAAATTTTCAGAGATTGGAAATAATATTTAGAATTTTTATTTAAAAATGTTGCCTATAAGTTTAAGATCCTTTTTTTTAATATGGGCTATCTGAAATGAGCCATCTCACCGATATATATATTAAATATCTTTTGCGTTCTTAAGTGGTCAGAAAGTGACTCTATCCCCTTTTTTAATCATCTTAAATTGATCACTTACCGTAGGGTAGAGTCCTCGGATGGAGCACTCCGCCTGGGAGCTCTGAACGCAGCCGGAGTCATCGTTGCGGATGCAGCAGGCCGTCTCCCTCTCGTGTCGCCTCGTCTTGGTGACCACCTCGGTGATCTTGATGTCCCGTCGCATGCAGGCGGCGAACTTGGCCCCCATGTGCACCAGATCGATGTTGCGTGGACCGATCCAGAGGTTCCTCTGCTCGACATGCTGCACCGTCTGCAGGCTGAGACTGGTGACCAGCACCTGGCCCGTCTTCTGCTCCGACCCGATGCCGATGGGTGCGATGCCGTAGCAGATGATCGACAGGATGAGCACCACCACCTGCACCGTGTTGATCCAGTAGGTGAAGAAGGGCCTATGGTCGGTGCGATCATCCAGGTCATTGACCGAGAAGTACTTGATGCAGCGCAGCGGCGGCCGTCTGGAGTTCTCCAGGACGCCATCGAGCAGCTGAGCGGTGATCCGATTGCCCCGATTGCAATTGGAGGTGGTCGAATGGGAGCTCCGCATGGCATTTGGCTGCATTTGGCTGGACACCGAACTGCACAGGGGTATGTGGGCAGACGCCGTTGGATGCGAGGACTGATCGCCGGTCAGGTTGATATCACTGCTGGCATTACCGCCTCCGCTGTTCAGGGCCGAGGTTCGCCATCCATTCTGCTGCCGCTCTGCCATGTAGACACTCACGCCCACGCCCACGGCCACGCCCGAGGCATCGGGACAGGGACGAGGTTTGGCCGGCTGCCTGCCAAGTTCGGAGCCGTCGTCGTTCACCGACGTGGTCGTTATCTCGCAGGGACTATCGAAGAACACCTCGTCGTCGATGATGGCCTCCAGTCCGTCGGTCAGGCAATCCGCATCCGCCTGCTGGCTGTTGTGCGAGGTGACGTGCAGTGGGGCAAAGCTGCGGGACCACTGCCAAGGACACCGCACCCGATGCATCTGGATGGGGCGTCTCTTGTTGAACATGTGCACCATGTAGCTGACCATGGCCACGAACATGTAGCCCACCGATGCCTTGCGCTCCACAAACTCTCCGGCCAGGAAATCGCGATTGGTGTAGCACTTTTGCCGCCTGTTATCGCCGGACAGGTTCATGTCCATGCCGATGGCATCCTGAACGGGCAGGATATCCGGACGATCCGGGGCATAGTTGGTGCCGGTTCCGCTACCCTGGACCACGTCCTCGCCACCGCCACCGATGGCCTGCTGCATGTGGTACTCCAGCTCGGTGTCGAACATCCCGAAGCAGCGGATGGCCAGCCGACGATGTCGTCCCTGCCATAATGCGCAATCCGCCACCTCTGTGCTCGGCTCCACGCCAAAGAACTGCGAGGTGGTGCGCCGCATGTAGATGCCGATCCGCTTCTTGCAGGACAAATGATGCATCTGCGGCTGTGGGAGCACCTGCAGCGATTGGTGCTGCTGCGTCTGGTGGTGGATGTGCTGCAGGCGCGGATTGCTGGCCATCTGGCCGCGGTACATCTGATGCTGGCCCGATCCCGGCGGCACCACACCCATGCTGCCGCTGGCCTCGATGCGTTTCGCCTGCACGGACACGGCCATGCTGGACTCCAGATTCTGGCTGGGCAGCTGGGGATCGTTGAGGCCCGAGATTACCGGCATGGCCATGGGCACGGGCAGGGATATGGGCACCGGGCTGATGGGACCCGTGGTCTGTGTGGTCTGGTGCACTCCCGTGGTCCGTCGCACTGTGTTGCAGTGCAGGCAGGTGCCCGTGGGATTGTCCACCTCTAGCTGGGCTATGGAGCCGCCACCGGGAGCCACCACAATCACGGAATCACTGTCGTCACCACGATGCGGTCCCGATCTCGAGGAGCTGGTGGCCGTCATGATTGGCGAACAGGATTGGCTGGCCGCTGAGAAGACCATCGACATGCTAGTGGAAGGAGCCGGCGAGGGCGATGTGCACGCCGGCGAGCAGCTGGCATACGTCTGCGAAGTGCGACTGAGACTGCCGTGCGAGGCTTCACTGTGGCAGCACTTGGAGCGTTGGTAGTTGTACGGCATGTTGGCGTACTGCGACTGAACCGCGGATGCGGATGTGGATGTGGAAGCGGCGGCGGCGGCGACGGCGGGAGTGGGCAGATTGGCCGCCGGCGAGGATGAGATGCTCAGGTCCGAGTAGATATCCATGGCTGGAGGCGGGGTGGGCACATACCTCTTGACCGGCGTGTGCACCGTGGAGCCCAGATAGGCATTGTAGTTCTCGCACTGCGAGAGTGGCAAGGGTACATTGGAAGGCAGTAGGAGACGGGTGGAGGATACCGACGGCACTGCAGAGGGTATCTCCATCATCTTTGTCTGGGGAGTTGGCTGCGTCTCGCGATACCGCTCCAAACGGTATCTGGAGTTTGGTGATACGCCACGCTGATGGTAGTTCCCGTTTCCACTCATTCCGTTGCCAACCATGCCGTTGCCTCCTATTCCGTTTCCACTCATTCCATTCCCACCCATTCCATGTTTCTGCAGCACAGTGGAATTATCCGGCTTGACGGACCCAACACTGCACGACTGAGTGGGCAGCTGATTGGCCACACAGGTGGCAAAGCAATCGCTATTTGGCGCCGGCGAAGGCGGCGGCACGCCCCTATTCGCATCATCGTATTTCTCTAGCGGCGAGAGCTTCAGCTTACCCGCATGTGGCGGAAAATTCTCGCCGTTCGGAGCGCGAAAGCGACCCGAAGACAGGCTGCAGTACATCACATCGCACTCGTTCGACTCCAACGCCAATTGCAGCTGATTCTGGAAGTTAATGGACTTCCTGCGGGTGGAGCTCAGGCTGCCGTTCCCACGCATCGAGGCGTGCACGTTGTCGGGGTTACCCTTTTCATTCCGCCTATTATTGTGTCCCAGGTCACTTCCACTCGAGCTCATAATCGAAGAATTAATATTTTCCGATCTGGGAAAGACAAATCAATTAAAATAAATTATCAAGTGATAATAAGGAAGTCTAAATATTTGTAGTATTAAAACCAAAATGGTTCTAAAAATAGTATTATAAGGCGAAAAAGACTAAAAATTTCTGTGAATAATTGAATTAAATCTTAGGCTGATAGAAACGTCCAATAACTAAGAATATTATATTAAAACAATTATTTCAAATTATAATGTTTTTTTCCATGGAGAAACATGGGTAATTTTTAAAAACCAACTTCATGGGACTTATACAGGTCTATATTCTTTATACCAATTTAAAAGCTCTTTTAGTACTCATGAGCTACACCTAAATTTCTTATATGGAAAGACACAATTATATTTATTGAAGACTACTTGATGACTAGATGAAGATCTGGATTTTATACCCTTGCAGAGAGTATTATAAAATGAATCAGAAGTTTGTAAAGTAGTGACCCAATAATGTATATAAATTCTTGAACACTATGACTGTTTGCAAGCTCAGTTTAAAAGCTTAAGATTTGAGAACGGTGGATCAGACGTCTATATGCTATAGCTGTCATTGCTGTTATCTTTTAAGTTAAAGTATATATCGCTAATTTTAGCTCCAAATTATGTTTTTAGATTTAGAAACAAAACCTTGATATTTGATCAAAATCGGGTAGAATTTTATAAATTTGTTTTTTTTTTGTTGTATAGTTTCGGATCCATCCCTCGACGGCGAGGGTATGAAAACTTCGTCTTGCCGAAGTTAGCTTTCGTTCTCGTTTTTTACATACGTAAAATAAAAAAAGCCACTGTTCATAGTTTTTTTTTTAAATTTAACGGTTAATTACTCCTCTTCATTGCGTCTTCCTTTCCTACGTCTAGAAGACGTAGTTTCCGGTCCATAAATTTGAACAATGCATGTGAAGCGACCTGACCTACAATTCAAAATATTTTTGTATAAATATTGTTTTTCTTTTGTTTGCAATAAGACGTATTTTCTTTAAGTCTGAATGGTTTGACGACCAAAGAAACAAATACTTTAAATTTAAAAAGGATCCACCGAACATTCCCCACATCTCCATTTCAGATACAAACAATAGAAAAAAGGGCCAAGGGCGCTCATGAGTAATCTGGGGCTGGCATCATAAAATGCTTTTATTTTATAACTTTGGACGTTTACGGAGTCATCACGTTAATTTTGTTATATTGTTCAGCATTATTTAGTTAAATAACCAATAAAACAATGTTTTTCAGAAAGGTATACCTACAAAATAATATTCAAATAGGCAAAACATCTTAACTAGCGTATTTTACTTGTATAAAATTAAGCAAATGTATTAAACTCACATTTGAAGGATCGATGGATTTAATTGTATAAATGCAATACACTGTTTTTTCACTTCATCTTTATTTTTGTTTAAGCCTGTTTACAGACCGAATCTTGGTTTATCGATTTTCCACATTCACCTCCATAACAAAAAGTACAAAAGTACATTGTGTTTAAGTTTATGATTTTAGCTTTCTGTCCTTTGTGTTTTTTATTGAATTTGTTTATTACTTAAGTTACTAAATTCTCGGATTGATTTATCCATTTTTTCTAACAATTTTAAAACCACTAATGCATATGTACACAGCTCACTCGTCGAAAAAGTGCAAGCCACTTGGAATAATTTTTCAGCTTTTCTCGCGCATGTGCAAAATTCAGTTGCTTGAGATGACAGAAATGTCCTACTGCTGATTGTAGGCATTGAAGCTGAAGAAGGTACAATTTTAATTTTAAATGTTGTGTTTTAAACTTTTTTTACTTCGTAATTCTACCCATAAAAACTTATTTTGAAAATCAGAAACACTCCAAAAACATTGTAAAAATATTTTGATAACATCTACCGGTTGTACAAAAACTAATAAAACAAACATTTTAGGATCATTTTCTTGCAGTCAAGAGCAAGCATTTTATTTATTTCGTTTGTTATTGCAAAATATTATTTGAATACATTTTAATTTTTTTTTTATTATGATGAGAATAACTATATTCAATGCAAAAATTATGATTTACTTATTCTTTATGCGCATGGGATGTAATCGAAAAGTCCAACCGTAAGAATACAATGGTGAACACAAATATGATATAGATAAACCCGCTAACCAGCAATGGTTCCTGCAGCATGGAAATCTTCGAGAAGCTATAGTAGAGCGTAAAGTCTGAAATATGGCTTTCGACCAAATTGGATTTGGTGAAAGAGACCACCGGACGACCTGTGGTGTCCAGATACGTGTGGACGAGTTCGTTTGGCAGTCTGCTAATCGAGTAGGGTGTCGAAAGGCGTATATCGCTGGATCCCTCGGGCAGAATGATCTTAACGGTGGCCTCATCGATGGCCATATTATCGTATATGTGATCGATCAAATGCATCTTCAGCTGGTATTTGTTGCCATCGTTGAACATGTACTCGTACGAGGGAACATTGTAGCCAAGTGTGTACTGGGTTTTCCAGCCGCCGAAGAGCGGAAACCGGGGGCGCAGCTCGAGTTCAATAAAGTCCCGCACAGCATTCATGTTGGAGGTCGATATGTTGCCATTTGTGTCCCGGTAATACACGCCAGAAGCAGAAGCCGGCAAGTAGGTCTTGTACGACTTCAGGGCAGCCAGTCCGGAGCGACCTTCCTTCTGGAAATCGTAGCGCGAAAACGATCCCTTCAGCTTGGCTCCGGTGTGGGTCATCTGAATGGATTCCTGAACGGCAATATTGCCCCAATGTGAGATCTCTAGGGTGCGCTCCAATGTGTTGACGGTGACAAAAGGCGACGAGTTCTCATAGTGAATAACGAGGGCCTCCTGGCTGAAGGCTAATAAAGTGAAAATATTTAGTCTAAGGAGCCATAATACTTTTTCTTTACATATACCTTCAGTGTTTTCATAGGGTCCCAGGGTGATTTTGTTGGAGGACACCGAAAAAGGTTTGACCTGGGTGTGCGACAAAATATTCGAGGAGCTGAGTTTGACATTGGTCTTCTGGCTGTTGGTTTTGTACTTCGAGTAAAAGTGCAGGTTGCCCGAGTATCTCACAAATTGTTTGTCATTCTGCTTGATTTCCTCGGGGTGCGGCAGGATGCTCTTGGAGGCCACAGTCTCGACCAGGAAACTCTGCTTAGCGGACGCCTTTGGGAAGGTGAGCGTAAAGCTCTGCTCGCCCTTCAGTGGCTCATTCTTTTTGATCTGGACATTCCGGTCGGCACTGTCCTTAACCAAAATGTACGCAAGGCTGGGCTCCGAAGCGAAAAACACGTATTCGGCAATGGGTTTGCCGGCTGTGTCTTCTGCCGAAATTTTGGTCAGCGTTTTCACCAGCTGCGAAGTTAGGTCGAGAGATCTTTCCACATTTGTGTTAACTATCTCCGCGTTTGCTTTGGATAGGCAAAGCAATGCGCTTAAGGCCAGATAAATAAGCAAATTAGTACCCATGCTCGCCTCGAATTTGGACACGTACATTAAAAAAAATATCAATGCGGTAGGGAATATTTAGTACATTTCAACCCGGCAAAGCGGCACAGTGTGGCCGTAGCATGTTCGAAGAAACATACCAATCTTTAGAAATAATTAATATGGGTATTCCTAGTCAACCGAATAAGTTTGAGCTTAAATTATTATTTTCACATGTACATATGTTTTGTATAAAATAATGTTATATGTAATCCAAAAATTATCTTCTCCAAATCTTGAAAATATACATTAATACAGATCCGAACAAAATAAAACCACATCGCTAAATATAATAATATTTACAGGTAAAAATTCAACTTGTCACGACTTAATAGTCAAATGTGGGAGTTGTTATTATATACCTTTTATTTGTAAGTTCCTTTATGTGTGATGTTAAACTAAGAAAAATATTAATTATTTGTATATTTTATTTTTCCATTGTAAATATAATGTTCGAGTTTAGCTGACACTTTCAATACAGAGAAACTCTAGCATATCATTTTACGGTGAGCAATTAAATTAAAAGAAGGTGCTAAAACCTAAAGATTTTTAATATTAAAAAAGTGTTTTAGCTTAAACTTTCTCTGTAACTAACCTTACCCAACTACTTATTAACAGTCAGCTGTCCGCTAAGTTTTCACCACGGTAGAGAAAAAATAAATATGAATGCATATTCCGAAAATTCGCCTTCAACGGGGACAGGAAATTCTTATTTCAATCCAATCACATTGGTATTTACCCCACGTTTGTTGTTAACCCATTCTATTCGTTATTCATAATGTAAATATGAATAATATTAAATAATATCTGTCATCATCCCTTCGATTTTGAGAAGCGCCGTTGAGTTGCCTTAAACACGCATATGCAATACATTTGAGAGGCACCAACCTCATAATGCGATTGCGTGAGTTATACGAACGGGGTTTTTGCCGACTTCAATTTAGTCTACGGTTGGCACTTCGAAAAAGAAGTTGTATTCGCCGGGGTCTTATTGCAAATTTTGGGGAGCAAAGCAAATTCGAATCAGAATTGTGCCACTTTCTCTAAACATACACACACCCACACACATACACTCGCGTATGTGCCAATAAAATAAAAATGCAGTGAGAAAGATGCGTTTTTGATAGGCCAATACATACAATTTATATAAATTTACCTGTGTATCTGTATTTTCGAAAATATGTAGCTATGAAAACATTCATATGTTAGCTTTATGATTGCATAAACAATTAGATTCGAAATGTGTATATACCCGTAAGGATTACCCGAACTGCCAGTGCAAAAAGTGAGTTTTCTTCTTTCATTTTCTGTGTATGCATTTCCTCTAAAAAACTCGCGTAAATAAATGAATCTGTATCCGTGAAATGTGTATTTGTATCCATAAATGATAACTGTGCGCATATGCATTTATGTACATACAGACGTATGAAATATGCTTAATGGAAACATAAGCATTTATTTATGTACATCAAGGTTTGGCACTAGTTCATTCCAAAAGTGATAAACAATTAATGCTATTTTGGTGACCCTTGTATATAAATATCTTATATCTGAGAGATACAAATTCATACATACGCTTACGGATGCAGGTGCATGCATTGGCATTCCTACAAATATTTTTAGAAATATATATGTATAAGCAAGTATAAATGCACACATATAACCTACACTTCGTTGCAGAAGGAAAATGATTGGAGTATAAAAGTTTAATTGCAAAGTAGACGATTTGTGGAGTGTCGAATTTTGGAATAATGGAACCGAAAAGATGGCATTTGCATTTATCATGTTTTTTGCTACTCCTTAGTTCAACGTTTTCTGGTAAGTGAAATTCATTTCCTTAAGTTGTATTAGTCGCTTTTGCGCAATGTTGTATGCTATGAAAAACAAAAAAAAAGTTTTTATATTGTGTTTATTGTAAGTAAAAACATCCGGATGTTTTTGTGTATACTTAGTGGTAATAGTAATTAAAACAGTGAAACTATTTTAGTACTAAGTGCAGTTTACTTACAGAAACCACAGTATTCATTGATGTGTTTACTATTTGAAACAGAATATATTTTTCAAAAATTAAATTATTATACATTTACGATTTATAAAATATTTCTGAAGACTGAATGAGTTTTTACTGCTGTATTTTCGAAATTTATAAAAAACTTGGAAATGCACTATTTGTTTACCAACTTTTAATTTTTCTTTTTCCTTTTAGATGTCGGAAAAATCACGTCTTCTCAAAATCACTTTGGAAACACTATACAAAGTCAATTTAATACCAAAAACAATACTCGTGTTATTGCACAGAAAGGAGGGCTTGCCATTTTACCCTGTGTGGTTAAAGTTAACTCTCCAGCAACGGTAAGAAATCAATTTATACATTTTTAATTTGGTTAAATGTTAATATCTAAAAATCATGACCTGAAATATTTCAGGTTTCTTGGATACGTAGGAAGGATTTTCAGCTCCTGACCGTCGGGCTGTCCACCCATAGTAGCGACAAACGTTTTTTGGTCGAGCATACACGTCACATGGGCCATTGGTCCCTTAGAATTAAAGCTGTTAGAGAGGAAGATCGAGGGTTTTACGAATGTCAATTGTCAATTTATCCAACTCAGTCAATAGTTATAGAATTAAAAATTGTTGGTAAGTAATTAAACAATATTTATAAAAGAGTGAAGTAAGAATAACAAACTCTTTTATTTTTATAGAAGCGGTAGCGGAAATTTCAAGTGCACCCGAACTCCACATTGATGAGACTTCTACTCTACGTTTAGAATGCAAACTGAAGCGAGCAACTGAAAATCCAGCATTTGTTTTTTGGTAAGAACGTTCAAGTGTTAAGGAATTTGCTCATGATTTGAGCTTAGAACCTTTTTCATAATGAAAAATACACTAAGACTTTAAGGAAAATCACTGTGGACTATTGGCGTCTTTAAATGCAAACATCTTCGACTTATATTATATTATATATGTATTAAATAGCAAATATTAAAATCTCAATTTATTTCATTCTTCAGGTATCATGATAGTAAAATGATCAACTACGATGCACAAGGGGGATTCGTCGTGACGTCGATCGGGCAAAGTAACCAGCAAAGTGGACAGAGTCACAGGAGTTCGCCAGCGAACAAATCGCGCGTAACCATGCCAATGGAGTCCAATGGCAATGGCCTTCTAAGCAACATCCTTGGAAGTCCAGAGAATTTTAAAGCACCCAATATGCCATCCTCAACACCCTATATGCAACAACACCAGTCCTCTTATCTTCTCAATCCTTCAGTGAGTGTGCTCACTGTGAGACAAGTTAATTTTCGGCATGCTGGCAATTATACGTGTGCTCCATCAAACGCCCGTCCTGCCAGCATTACAGTGCATGTTCTAAGAGGTAATGATCTAAAATTATTTAATTTTAATTATTAAAAATACTTATAATACCCATTTTGAACAGGTGAGAAAACGGCGGCCATGCAACACGCCAATCGGAGTATTTTGGATACTGAAAACAACGGCAATGGAACTTTTGGACTAATCACTTTGGGCGGACTGAATGGAACCACAAACGTAGCTCTGACCGAAGGCCTTCTGTACTTCTCTGTCATGTTCCTGCTAATAGCCGCGGTAGTAGATCGATTCTCACTAGCAGTAAGCCACAAGGTATTCTTAGCATTTGCAATTACCATATTGCATAGCTGAAACTTATAGTTGATGGTACTTGGAATGGAGCAACTTCAATCATTCGAAAATATAAAAATGATATTTGTTTTAAAATAGAAAATGTAAATAGATCATTGACATACCATATTAAAAATGCGCAAGCATTGTAAGACATTTACGTACTCTAAGGTTAAACTGTAAATAGACTTCCATTACATGCAATGTATTGAATTGAGAATTAAGAGAACTAATGAACTTGTTACCACAAACTTATAAAATGCATCCTTATGTTAAGTCGTAAGAGATAAAACACTGCGTATTTGAATGGTTAAAGTGGTACGATAAAATGTATGCTTAGATGTTCATATTTATTGACTGGTACTGACATTTTAATGTTACAAACAATGGAATTAGCGTAAAATAATAATAAAGCATACAGATTTGTTACCTAATAACTCGAAAAATTTGATCGTCACCTTTAAACTGTTATTCTGCTCAGTGTTCGATATTTAGTATATAGATTAATTTATGTAAGCACCTTTAGAAGTATGCTAATTCATATACTGTATGTACAACTGTAAATATATATTACTTTTGTGGAGCGCTTAAAGAGCGCCATTTGAATCCAAGTGGGCACAAGTGCCAGTTTCGTTTTGTTTACCTTAAAATACGAATTAAAAGAAGAACTTTAAAATTTAGTTGCAGACATAAAACCGTTTTAAATAAACTGATCAATTTTAAGAAACTATTCCCACTCTTTTAATTAGGTTGCACCATTGCAATGCAATGTCGCTGTTTGCTAAAAGATAAACTTCCAATTAACTAAATCCATCGATTTCGTTAAGTCTTATTTTAATTGGGTGCATGATTAAGGAAAAAAATGTATGGCTTGCGTAAAATGTTTTCTTTGTAAAATAACGGTAAGAATGGTTTAAATTTTGAAGCGATTTTCGATAATTGTTATTGCAACATCAAAATTTTAAAATTAAGTATTTCAAACACCAAACAATTTTCATTAATTTGTGGTGACTGTTTTGAAACAATTGATAGCTTGCGACTTTACATTTACTTTTGATTATGCAAACAGCGCTACACTTGAAATGTAATGCATAATAAAAATATTTTTGTTTTGTTTGTTTACTATTTTTAGGTCTTGACTTGTCATTTTAATTAAAATCAAATTACCATCTCTATCTGACGGGACACATCGATATAAATAACGGCAAATTCATATAAGCCGATATATTGATAGCAATAACTCCAGCGATAGTTATCGATGAATTCAATATTTCTACTTCACATGACTACCATCAATGAAAAATGTTGACAAAATTAAAATGAAATCAGAAATTTTGGCAACCGCCTTTTTGGGTTTGGCGGTTAGGTCGATAATCTCGCTG